TCAGGGATGCCATGTGGGGAGCAGAGATGAATTGCACTTGACAATATAAATGGGAGACAGAGGACTTTGCTTTTCTCAGGAGAATCAACTTCTTCAGGTAATTACAGCTTGACTGCTTTGATGTAAGAGAAAATCAGGAAGACTTTGAACATCTGTGCAAAAGGGTTTTGCATTTCCCTCCGAAAAAGCTCAGATTTTAGGTACAAGGAAAGTGATCAATCTTTCAGCAGGGAAAAAAAAAAAAATCAGCAGCAAGTGAAAGTTTGCAACTTGTTTTTCTTTTCCTTTTCCCTCTAAAATCCACTTTTGCAACATTTTGGTGTCAATCTATTCCTTTTCTCTTGCTAGTTTGGTTTGTGTTCTTATGTTCATAGATCTTGGTTTTCTAAGTTTCTGTGGGGTGATATAGAATCATTCAATTTGCTTTTTGTGCTTTTTGGTTCCCATTTCATGGATATGGATGAAATGGCTAAGAGTGAAGTACTCAATTCCTCGTTGTGTTTTTCTAGACCTTCACTGCTTTTTGCTGTCCTAATTCCTTCACTGCTTTGTATTGCTGTCCTAATTCCTTCTTTAGGTTTCATTTGCTTTCCGAGCTTTGAGTTCTTCCCTCTCCTTCTTACAATTTCAATTTTGATCCTGTCAACCATTTTTGTCCTCACAAACACAAATAAAAAGGTGATTTTGGATGAGAAACCAGTTGGGAATCTCCTCTGTGGCCAAGAAAACCTTCTGCATGATGGAGAGGGAATTAGAGGGCAGCTAGTTCAAGAAGTAGAAGATCAAAATGAGGTAGGGCATGAACTGCTTCCAACTGTGGAAACTGTCACACAAACTGCCCAGCAAAGTGAAAATGTTACAAATTATGACTACCAAGTTGAACATTCAGATGTTCCATCAGAGAGTGATGAACAATCAGTGCCAAGTGAGAATTTTGAGCTCAATTGGATGTGTTGTAACAATTTGGGTCCAAAAGTTGAGATATCTGATGGTTGTTCAGTCTCTGATGATGATGATGATGATAGCCTCATTGAGATCAATCTTCCAGCAAGTGAGCCAAAGGAAAAGCTGCAGTCAAATTTGCCAGACTCCATTTTCAGGCAACAAGGTTTAAGAGAGCACTTGGCAGATATCAATGAGGTGAATGAGGAAGACAACTTGATTGAGATTGACATTTCCATGGGCTCTATCAAGTGTCCAAGGTTTGAGATTGAAGCATGAGTTGCAAATAATTCAAGAGGTCAATAATTTTGGATACTTTGATCTATGAGTTTGCAGTTAGAAACTAGGGTTAGGATTTAGGCTAAAGTTTCACCATCCGAATTATCTTCCTTAACAAATTTATGTTTTTTTTATATTGAAAATATATCTTGGTATTTATTTGTCTTCAGTTTCATAAGCACTGTGCTTTAAATGATACATAAAGTGGCATGGCAAATTGGTAGCCCCATTCCTCATTTTTCTTTAGGATAACCCTAACAATAATACCTCATTTTTGGCTTGAACCTGAATCTTTGAATTATTTTTTATTCAAGCAATATCCACTCAGAGGACGAGGAGGGAAAAATCGAACACATAATCTCAATCGCAAAACCACACCACATGAACATTCATAGGCCTTTTTCATGTACAATCCAAAGTTATGGGGTAAGTTGAGTTTGGGCCTATGCTTCACGCAGCACCACCATCTCCAACTCTGAGTTGAAGCTGTGTTTTTGCAATTTCTCATCGAACTACATTTCACGAATGTTTTAATTACTTTTATTCAATTCTTGAGTAAAGTGATGATTGGAGTTGTGTATTTGCAATTTCTACTTAAATTTTATCTAAGGACGTGGTTTAGGGAGTTAATTGTAGATGCTCTTATGACTAGCCTATTTGAAGTTTAAAACGCATAAGAAGGTCGAAACTTGCAAGGATAGGCATATTAATACGACTCGAACAAACCTAGTTTGGTTTTTCAATTGTCTTGCAAAAACATGTCAAGATCTGAAAAGCTCAAGTGATCTTGATGTCTCAAAGGGAGATGTTAAATATAAAATGCTACATTTAGATTTGATGGCTTATATGAGAATTTGATACGTTATAAATTTTTTAAGTTCACATGAAGTATCAAAGAGTTTTTCTATTTAAACCTCATTCTTCTCTTTATTCACCCCATGTTTTAAGTTCATTCCAACTTCTAATTCAAATTTTCACAATTTCTAAGAAAACCCCATTATCATCCCAAACTACCCCTAAATATACACCCAACAGAAGAAAAAAAATTAAAAAACTCATCAACTCACACCCCACACCCCACACCTCACACTCCGCTATCTTGCCCCTCACCACTCTAAGTTCACCTCAATATCACATTACTTAAAGAGATAAAGACACTATTGTCAAACTCAATTGATGACCTACAAGCCACTAGTTGCATACCATATTTAGGGTTTGTGAAGAAAAGATGAGAGTGTAGTAGGTTTCTTAGATTGAAAGAAAAAAGTAATTTGGCAATAAGGTGTAGTGGAGTTTATGTTTTTGTGTTTTTCTAAAACTTAATATGAAGAGTTGTGGAGTGTGTGTATAGATGTATTATGATTAAGTATCAAATTGGATGATTTTTTTGTCTTTTTACATAATAATAAAACTTAAAAGCTTAATGATTCAAGTATTGGGGTGAACAAAGAAAAATGTGGGATTTAAATAAAAAAAATCTTTTATTATACTTTAAAATGTAAACAGGACATATATGAGAATAAAACATTAAAATAATAGTGGGGCTCAATGTTACAAATTATTAAAACAACATTTGGAATCAAGTTATATGAGATGTTCCTTAAAATTCATGTAAGATTCGATTATTCAGTTGGAGAAAGTTTTCTCATTCAATTCTTATTATTTTATATCTATATGAGTAATTTAACACATTGGTCGAAGATGCTAGTAATTGTGTTGTAGAAAATCTTTAAAAGTCCACACTTTGTGAAACAAGTTAACTTCCAAAGGGAGCGAGCATCTCCGTAGCTTTGCTAATGTGATTGTGCTTAACATTTACGATCATGTTCATCATCAACCCACCATCTAAGTTTTGCATTAAATATGCGTAAGTATTCCTTTTATTTATTTTATTTGGTTATTTTACTCTTTAACACTAAATTTATCCAGTTTGCATTACAAAATTTCC